AGGGACGTAAGTCCCAAAACTTTCAAAGTAAAATATAATTTATCACATTTTTAACGTAGTATTTTTGTTATTTTAACTTTTGGCTAAATTTTCCTACAATCACCAGCGGCTGAAGGGATGGTTTAAATCCAGCTAGGATCCATGCAGGTAGCAAAAGTAATGTAAGTCCCCATGGTTCCTAGTATGGTGATCTAACTCCAGTTGTTGGCGATCTATAGCCCGTGTTTTATACTGTATTGTCTTCTTTAATTGGAATTTTTTAGCTTTCCTCGCTAGTTTTATATTCATATCTGTGATTCTCTAGTATTTTTCCTGTCCATCGTCGACAGGTTTTCATCTTCCAAATGTTTCCACCTTTTATTGTATGGATTGTTTTCGTCACGATATGGCTGAGATATTGCCGATGTGACGTTAAATATTAACTCACTCACTCACTCTTAAGGACAAGGGATACCCACCTTTAATACATATTCATGGGCGTATCTGATGTGGCCAATACGGCATTGTCTTAAAATGAACTCTACAAATCTGGACTGGCAGCCCAAGGTGCAACCAATAGCTGGTCCAGTTGCATTTAATTCATTGATACACACATGGGTGTCCCAATTCTTTTGCATTAAATCCCGGATGTGACATGTAATAACAGGTTTATAAGCAGTATAAGGTATGAGAAAGAAGTGTCGTCACATAATTGTCGAGTGTAGCCCAAGCAGCAGAATCGGCCATTGTGTTACAGGTAATTCCAACATGGCTGGGAAACCAACAAAACAAGATGTCAAATTGACCTGTTAGCGAGATCATCATGTAATTCGAGATTATTTAACATGTCTTAAAGGCATGAAAGAGCATCTGAGACATTGTTGTGTTAATCATATTTATACTGTTATTAATTCGTTTATTAAAAGTTAAAATGACTTTGGCTGATCTTGTAATCTTCTAGATATTGTCTTGTATCCAATGACATTGGCACAAGCATGTGCGTCACCATCCTTAGGTCCTTCTGCAAAAATAGATTTATAAGGGAAATGTATACTGTTTTACTGATTGCATTCTCATTGGTACATTAGTTGGTTTGTTTCAGAATTCTGATTTCGCAGAAAGTTAGCAGATATATGTCCAGGTCCGATATTAGCAATGTAAATCATGTTTTTAATTCCTATTGCCAGGGGTGGAATTAGGGAAGATTTTTATGTTTGTACAGATCCTCATAAAGAGGATTAAAAACACACTTATATGCAGTGTTAGACTCCTTAGTATATAGTTGCGATACATTGTAAGGATAATTATATGAAAAGTTCAGAAGGACCCATTTCGAATTAGAAAAAGGTGTTGTAAATGAAGTGAAGTCAGGCACTTATATTTCAAATATATATATATTTTGTGGCCGAAAGGTCAAATGTTGATGAGATATAATACAATAATATTATAGCTGAGTTGAGTTGAGTTGGGCTTTATTTCACATCGGCATTATTCCAGCCATAGTGACGAGAACAAGTCTGCATAAATAAACATTGTAAGTACAGAGTCAAAATGAGTTTAATTCCAAAAACATATATTCATTACATTGTCATTTATAAACAGAACAAGTCATAGCACTAAATTTGAACGCAGGCAATTTGTTAGTCACATTACACAGTTACAATTTATGATACAGATCAACCTTCCTCAGGTAGTTCACTATCAGATGAGCGCTCACGCGGGAGAACAGATCTTTCAGATTTGTTGCATCATAGTGTTAGTCCCTTGCAGACGATAAGTCCACAGTCAAGCAGAATATGCTTGATGGTGAAAACCTCATCGCAAGAGACACACATGGGGGGTCCATCCCCATCCGTTTTCAGCAGATAGTCATGTGTAAACCGACTGTGGCCAATACGACATCGTCGTAAAATTACCTCATCACGTCTTGACTGACAACCCAAGTAGGTATAACCAATTGTTGGCTTCAGGTCATACAGTTTATTTCTTCCTACTTGAGTGTCCCACCTCTTTGCATGAGGTCCCGAGTATAGCTTTTGATAGTGGGTTTGAAATCACTGTACTGGATCGGCAGTGGAGATAAGGGCCTTTCAAGGGCTGCTTTAGCTGCAGCATCGGCTTTTGTGTTGCGTGCTATGCCGACGTGACCCGGCAACCAGCAGAGGACGATGTCACATTGGCCAGTAGAAAGGTCGTTGTAAAGTTCTAAAATGTCCAGAATGATTGGGTGACTTGAAGGCAAGATAATGAATCTGTAAAAACGATGAAGTTTTTGGAATGATTCTGCTGTTTAATGTAGGTCAAAGCTGAGTGGATAGCTTTTGCCTCGGCAGTGGAAATAGAACTGTTGTCGGGAATCCTAGAGGAGACATTCTTGGATCCAATGACTGTAGCACTGGCAACTTGGCCCTCATCCTTGGATCCGTCTGTGAAAGTGGATCTATGGGTGTCATACGTGGAACATAACTGGATAATAACAATACAACTTTAATAGGGTTAACGTTGCCATCTAAATTTAATTCTAGGTGTTCATGAGGTTTGCATCTTCTTTAAAAGTATATGCAATTTGTTTTGGATTTTGAAAATTTGAATACATTTTTCAAACACCATTTATGAAATATATTTAATCATAATTGCAGTTTCATTTCGATTGTATGTACATTTTTACCACAACCAGAAATTTGAAAATCATCCTCAAAACTAATAGTCTTTATACTAAATAATTTGATTGACAAAATGCTGCCTTATGGACCACCGTTGGTTATGATTATAATGATCACACAGGTTTGAACCCCCGCAGACTTAAAACTGCCTCATTTAAAAACTTGTTGTAAATTGAGGCAAGAGGCCTCGCAGTTGTAAATCTTTTGGAATTCCCTATTTCTGCGTAGTGTTGTATGCTTTTCTGACTCAAAAAAAGATAGACACTTGATGTTATTTATTGATTGTGGAATTTGGGACAGTTTTGGATTATGGGACAAATGATTCTACGAATTATATGATCTATAGTATGTCTTGTTGTTTTTTTAACCGAAACAACATTGTATATCAGAAATATAAGAAAATTGTAGGTTTTCATCTATCCAAATTAATCGATCATTGATCACGCTTTCATGCTTTGCAAACGCAGCTTTTCAGTAAAATTGGTCGATAATTTGAATGATCGGTAAGATAAAGTCCAGTTTTAGGTATGGGGACAATTACAGCATCACGCCATGTAGAATGAAATTTCTTCCGCGTCCAAATGTCATCATAAATAACCTTAAACACGATTCCGGTAAGTTAGATAATGTATGTTATCAGCTGTAACAGTATCGTGACCTAGTTCAAATGAAGTATAGAGCTCACGAATAGAAAAAAGTTTCATAGCAATCTTACCCATTTCCTGAATTGAAATTAACAGTTTCCTTTTCTTCGTGTTTGTGACATTTTGGAAGTGAGGTACAAAATTAGATGAAGAACTGTGGTGAAAGTTGCAATAATGTTTATTGACAATATCTTATTTAGTAGTTACTAAATGGTCCCCGTCTTTAAGATGTTAAATGCTGGATTTAGAGTGTTTTATATTTGTTTTTCTGGATCATGTTCTATGTAAACGTTAGACAACCGCGTTCGTGAATTGATTTTTGATACGTAATTTCGTTAAGATTGGCTTTTACTTGGTGAAAAAGTATGCCGTTCTCTAGCAGTTCTAGTCGTGGAATTATTCAAATTGTGGACCATAGGATGGCGACGGAAATAATAATAAGCCATTTTCCTTGCGTTGTTTAGCAGTCATCGTTGAACCATAGTTTTCGAATGTTTGGAATTGCAGGAGTATCTACCTTTTTTTAGAGAGCGACAAACTAAGTGCCCTGTTATGCTTGTTCCATCCATGCCCTCTAAGGATCCGAAATGTTCATAAAGTTGGATTTTGTTGTTTGAACTGTTTGAACTCTGCCACTTTGACATTTTTTTAAGATTCACATCTAGATTAATTTGGGTTTACAGAATTTACATTTATATTTAAAGAATCAGGACTACTTTATATGGATGTACAACTTCTTTAGTCTGTATAGACGACGTTTCAACATAGATTCTAATGTCGTTGTCAAGCAGCGAATAGTCACTTGATTCGGGCAGTCTACTAGGAAACACAATGTACCACAAGTCGTTGAGTCTGCAATGAAACGCGTCATAAACAGGAATTCTAAATTCGATCATCGGATGCAGGCATGCATACCTCAGAAATGCCTTTCAATACATCGACTTGCTGTCCCTTAGACGACTGGACCACCAGAATCATCTGTACATATTCATGTAATATTAAGACGATATATTAAATCGTGATGCTATTGTATTGCCCTTGTTCATTCTCACCTTTTGTTCCCATAACACAGTTTTTATCGTTGAACGCGTTTAACTGACCATTGCAACTATTCAAAGCATTCATACATTTGATCATGCCAGTCAGCAGGTTTTTACCCCTCCTTGCGTATTTTTAAAATTTGTACACATTGATACTCGACCTTATCACGAAAATAGGTACTAAGATATAGAGAATCTCACCCAAGTGTTTTCTGATATCAATTATATCAACACGAGTTGATAAAGTTACAAATATCTTCACTTTTATTAACGAGTGATGATATATATGATATCAGAGGACACGAGGGTGAGATTCTATTTATCATCCCAAATCGCTCATTAGGTGTCAATGAAAAATGTACATCTCTAAACACGGTGCTACCATCAGACTTGCACTGAAGCGATGTCATAGCATTGTGACGTCATCAAGTTCATGACGTCATAGCATTGTCAGGGCATTGTACACAATCTACTGTCGAAACGATATCTCCTAGGAGATAGTAGAATAGAATAGTAGAAAGCTGAATTTTTCAGGAAAGCTTCAGGAAAACAGCATTGCCATGTTCAAGATACAAAGTTCTGCAAATTCCACCCTGTGGCATTTTCAAAATGGCCGCCCATTTCAAGATGGCCGCCAAAATCATTAAATCATTATGCAAACAGATATGTTGTCAATAATTATGCCATGTGACATATCAAATGAAAGCTCGTCTCACAGGGATTCTACATATAGTGATATCATGCCTTGTGGCATTTTTAAAATGGCCGTCAATTTCAAAATGGCCACCATTGTCCTTTAAATAATCAAAATAATCTGACGAAAATATTTCTTTGTAATTAACCATACCTTGTGATATATTAAAAGAAAGCCCTTCTCACAAGGAATATAAATATATGACTATATTGACACCACACATACATAAGACAATTAATTATGGCACGATAACCACACATTTCATGCTTGTGCTTTTTGGTACCAGACGTCAAATTTACTTACATGATTGAGAAAAAGCATGATGAAATTCATAATTTCTCGTCCCACTAATGAGCTGCTAATGATGTTCCTGTACTGCTTACCAGACAACATATCATATATTTGTATCACCTTCACATGGATTCACATGGTAATATTTTTAAAAAAAGAAGATAAAATCATTTTTCTTGAGAGGGTATTAAATCTGTTGATCAATAAAACAGCTGAAAATGTATCAAGTCAACCATAGTGGACATTTTGTACATTAAAAAAATCAGCTTTCTACTATTGTATTGCAATGTCATGTCTAATGTTCTTAGTCTACATGCAATATCTCCTGTGAAACACAGTTTTGGATGATAAATGATATGACATGTCATTATCTTTTCTTATTGCAAAGAAGGAGTCAACAATATTACTGCTGAAGATGTGCACAATTACAGAATCCGTTTTGGTAATTAATTCATAACTATTTACCTGCGAACACTTCAGCACAAACACTTGCTTTATGCATTCCTGAAGGTGGGGTTTTCTAATCCCAAATCTACTTTCAGCTTTTCGCGGACTTATTTTCAATTTCTCTGATCGAGACGCTGACTGCTTCGGGAAAAGTATAGTATGTGGACATGTTCGAATGATAAACACTGCAAACCGTTGAAACGTATAACAGCACTGTCAGTATTCAGAAGTGACAAGAAATGTCACATCTCACATCCCATGTGAAAGAGCACTAATGTTTTCATTACTTACTGCTTTTACACTGTTTGCTCTTTTGATTAATGAGCGCATCAAAATGTGTTCCATAGACCTTTTAGCCTAATGAATGATGAGACAGATCATACATCTTGACAGATGTCTTCGACTCAAATGATGGCAATCATGTTACTAGGTTGACCTCCAAGACTAGGATATCACGCATCATCTGACAATGTGTCTTAGAGATATTCTCCAAGCAGTATATTACATGTACAAAAAATGACAGTTGGTTTAGTTCTGGAACTGACAATATGATAATGTCTTTAGATATTCATTCCTATGACTTTTGCCTATTTCACAACCGAGAACTTACATGAATGTTTCAAACTGACATGATCATCATAATGGTAAAAAAAGGGAGATTGCAAACAGTTCTATTGTACTCTGAAGCTAAGAACGTCTCAAGAATAGTATGTAAATGAACTCCATAACCAATCATACTCCTTGACAGACCATAACGTTGTGTATTTGTCCATTTTGTGTTACATTCTACAGAAACATGAGTGTGCCAATTTGACCAAAAGCGAGTCTTTTGCGATAAAACAGCATTTATAAAGTACCAGTACCTGTAGCTTAGGAAACTGTTTCCAATACAATATTAGAAGCAAAGTATTTGTGAACGATTCTTTCATTGCTATATATAAGTACTTAGAAAGTCGGTTTAAGTCAGTGCTGAAGAGAAATACAGGAAAAGTTTACTGCCAGACACAGCAAACCTCAAACTTTAACACCCGCATTACGTATTATTGCTTAAATCTGTGATATCCCAACGTTAGTACTGCCACAACAGAATCATTCATTGACTCGTATTGTTGACTAAATGATACTAACCAAGGACAACGACCCTGCTGAGACACTATCAAGGAATCAGCTAGCTCATACATCATTTGCAACTATTTCCAAATGTAACCATTTCTTGAGCGATTTATCTTTTATGTGTTTCCCTATTCCCGACGGTCCTATATTACCTTCCATCCCAGAATATGTGTGTGAATTATTTTACGAATTTCCCGTTTCATTACAGGAGTTCCCATTGGAAAGTCATGTCAAAATGGAAATAACTCTGCCCCACTCTTTGTTCATCTCCACCATTTGTCACACTTTGTAACTCTCATCATTGCTATAACTGATGCACGTTCCCCAGCACAGAATCACAGCCATGTTTTTTTCATCCATCTAAAGAAGAGTAAGAAGATATGAAATGTGTGTTTATGTGCAGAAAATGTCATCAAAGGGAAATGTAAAACTTCAAACTCACCAGAAAAAAAATATCCTCGAATATTTCGTTTAAAACAATGTGAACGTCTCTATGTATGGACAATCCCGTGTAGTCATTCCGGTGTTTCTGTTATTAGAATAAATATTTAATCGATGAAAGTATATTACATGATGACCTGCAACTCTTTGGAATAGCAACTGATTTCCAATGAAATCAATATCATTCAAATATTCCTCCTTCTTTAGTATACGTCTTATCTTTCTGAGGATATCTGCGAACGAGTTGTTCATAGGAAATCCCTGTGACCGTGCTGCCTCACATATAGTGTTGTTTAAAGAGACAATGTCCCATTAGCACTGTCATATACTGGTACTCATTTCCAGAAGATACATGCGATACACACATATCAAAAGGTTGACTTCTTGTAACGTTGCCATTTGCATATATGTCTGAGCATCGCAACATCGCAGTCATCACTTCAACCTTAGATAACGATGTTAATCATAGCCCTATCAATCATGACTTGTTCCAAAGTGCATGGCGACGTTCTTGACAGATACAGTCTTTGATCTCTAATTCCACTCTGACTTTGAAATCTGGGTATGATTAGAAATGCTTATGTACTCATCATATTTCCACAGATTCTGGACATCCAAGCAGAAGGTCATGACTGAAAGCTAACGTGGCGACAACACTACTTAATCATCCAGATATCTCGCATCAACAGGACTTGTTATATGAGCCTTATTCCATAAGCATCATCAACGCAGTTGTTAGCAACAGCTTAGGCATTATGCCGACACCACAATTATCAGGTTTGGTTGATGTGTTTGTAGAAATCCAACTTTCCATTTGAGAATATTTTTTATGTCAGCACAAACAACCTGGCTAGTAGTTGTGTGATATGTGTGAAAGTTTACACAACAAAATATTCCTGTGTTAATAATAATAAGTCATCTTCTATAGCGCACAGTGTCCAAACACCAAGTGTTTGCTCGCGGCGCTTAATCAGAATCTGATTCTTATTACCCCGGATAACCCAAAGGTGCCTGTTAGGCGCTAGAAGGGTATAGTCACATGACTTTATCCAACCGGGTACCCATTTTCTGCTGGCTGAACAGAGGCAATTCGGAACAAACTCACTTGCCTAAGGTGAGACCACATGTATCACATGTTAAGGGATTGTTTAAAATAATTTCATTTTCTGATCCCAACTGCCACAGGGAAGCAATGTCTGTTGACTGCATTTTGATTATTGAATACAACCTGACTACAATTGTATGAATAGTTATAATTGTATGAATTACGACGGCTTGGGAGCTGGAAGACTTTGAAAGTTGCCTCTTTCATAGAAACAGAAAGGAAAGAACTAATTTACGTCTATCATATGTGTATTATTTTCCTGACATCATGGGACATCATGGAACGCAATAATATAGAAGGATGCAATTTAAATGGCCATTGAACTGAAATGAATCTTCAAAACATTTGAATTGTTAACTGTGTACAGCGAGCACATTTCGACCAAGCACTGTAACTTAATATCACCTGCATTAACCACCTGAACCAGAATTAAAGAGATCAGTGAACCCAGTCTCATCATTTTCTTAATTTTATTCGTAAAATACGTGTTTGTTTTATCTTTGGCTACATTTGTCATAACTGCCAGCATCTGAAGCATCTGACCATTACTCTCCACGACTTTGGGTACTAAGTTCCAGCTTGCTGTTTCTACGAGCGCCGTGCGTGTATGATTTATTCATTGAAAATAATTATGTACGTGCCTACATTTGAAATGTTTCAATGTACTGCTAGATATAATTACCTGAGCAACCTGAGAAAAAAGTCTCAACAACACAAAAATCCATCTGGACATCATATAGGAAACAGCGGTGTCGTAAGTCCACGTTATGCCTGTTTAGCGGGTATCAAAAAGGTTGGAGGTTGTCTCACGTAAACACTCAGGTATGAATAATAGCTGTCACATGTATAATTCAAACAAACAAACAAACAACGTGCTTGTGGTTGTGTATCCTTTAAGTGGCCGCATCCTTTATGTTCAGTATTTCACAGTTCAATTCCTGATGTTCCAGCCCCAGAACTGCACCCTGTCACCACGACTGAGCATGGCTATACATCAAGCCAATAGACATAGAAACAGTCTATCTGTGACGCCATCATTCTGGCACCGGCGGCGCTGGAGAATAGATCAGCACGATCCAATTCCTTCTACTCAAGAACATGTCCTTAACCAAACAACATGTTATTCTATCTGATGCAGGATAAGTGCAAGCGGTGCAGTTAGTTGAACCTAACCCTGAATTAATGAAGTCTTCAACAGGGGAACCGGCGTAATATCTAATCTATTAATCACCTACATTTAAGACTGGATGTATTTCATAGTCCGGCCACGTTATTGTATCTGAATGAGATAATAAAACTATTATTTATTTTGCATTGCATAGCAGCAAGCATTGTCATCGTTTTGTTTGAACTGATATTATGTTGTCGAACATTAAGCACAAGTTTTACTGTAATGCACGTGATAGGTTTAAAATATGGTCAATAATAGTTTTTGGCTTTCAAGAACTTGTTTAGAATACATATTGACAGACATGTCTCATTTAGCAGAAAATAGTGACTCGTATATCGCTCAATGATTAGTGTTAGATGTGCATATCATAAAATATAATAGTGTGTGTAGTCTGTGTAATATTTAAATGTGGAATTTCAGTAAACACGCAGTGCAGGTTCCAAGCATACAGCTTTTTAGGTGACTTGGCTGTGCATCATGATGTTGTAAAGACTTGGATCGTGGAACAAATCAGCCCGGGTGACGCTGAAATATTGCTGACTTACAATGTTGTTTCCTTAATATGCCTCCATGAAGTAAGATGCACAGAGCCGTTCCTGTGCTGTGTTAAAGCATATAACCACCTAATTTAACATGTGAAAACGAAATTGCAATATAGAATATAGAATTATTTTTAAACCGCAAGTTTCGACCCTTGAATGGTATATTTGTGAGATTGTAGTAATTTTCAACGTCACTCTTATTATGTATAATATCCTGTAATACAAAACACATTACCTCTAATAGCGTTAGAAGGTATAGGGTAGACATAGAAGGTAGTAAATGTAAATATTGAATTTTTGAGGATATTCTAATGTTTCAGGGATGCATTTCTGCCTTGTAACGATAGCTGCAAAATTGCTGATGACGTTGAGCTACATTCTCTCACTCAGTCCCCCTGTACCATATTAATGTTCAAAGTGGACTTGATAATAATGATGGAATGCCGATAATAGTGATGGAATGCCAATACAACCATTATCCGTGGCATCTCTGCGTTTCATAAGGCAAATGTTACAAAGTGTTTAAGAATGTACAACGATATGTTCTTTACAATAAACTCAGATGGCTATTAAAGCCAGCCTCAACAAAGGTTTTAGCCATCATTACTTCAAAAATATCTACACATTTGTTTCCCAAAAAATCCTAATGTACTTGAACTGTGTTTTGGGGTGTGTTTTTTATCACGTATGGTGTTACTTGCACTGGAATTTGAGGCATTTGAATATATAAATTGATTGTCTGAGTAATAAATGATATTGTTTCAGCATTCTGCTTCATCTTTCAGACAGACAGTACTTTATTCATTGTCGACGTTGTTGAGGCTTACTTCCATTCGTCTTTCTGAACTAAACTTGATTGAAGAAGCTTAGCTTGGTTTTATACCTCAGGATTAATGTTTCTCCATAAGTGTTACTTTCCTGTACCATGCTCTCTTCAAACACCTCATTTTGAGTATACAAATCCTTGCTGCTTGCCATAGCATATTATATTATCATTTCTGTTTCTCGTTATTTCAGTTTTTGCGTTACTTATGAGCAACTATTATTGCTATGACATATACGATATTAAATGCGCTTCGTTTCCAGTTTTGGTCAGTGTTTTATCAATTATTCTTTGTACAACTATTCATTAATCAGGTTATGGTCACCTTACGAACGAAATGTACGTCCTCTAACAATATCAATAATAATTTATATGAATAATAACTTTTTATTGGTTGCTGAGTTTTTCATGTACCTATGGGAATATGACCCATGTATCGTGTGTTAATGTTCTATTTTTTTAAGAGACTAGGTTTGATTGACGAAGAGGTATTAGGCACATTACTACATTATCGTTCATGACCTGAAGAGCGTTCGCGGACAGATATACATTGTACTGAAAGTGACATCTACAGTTGTTATTTTCTTATTAAGAAGTTACAAAAGTGGAAGTGCATGAATCTTTTGCAATGTCCCCTGATATGTTCCCATTTTGCAAAAATGTTGTTGTTGTTTGGGGGTTTTTGGGGGTGGGGATGGGATGAAACCCCCCTCCGTGTCTCTTGTGTGTCACGGGAACCCAACTACAGTTACTGTTAGGTAAATAATAATGATTAATGTTGGGAGATAACTATTCTTCAAATTGTTTTCACCCGTGAAGGTCCGGGTTAGAATATTGGCCTTCAGTAACCAATGCTTGTCAAAAGAGGCGACTAGCGGGATCGGGTGGTCAGGCTCGCTGACTTGGTTGACACATGTCATCGGTTCCCAATTGCGCAGATCGATGCTCCTGTTGTTGATCACTGGATTGTCTGGTCCAGACTCGATTCTTTACAGACAGCCGCCACACAGCTGTAATATTGCTGAGTGCGGCGTAAAACTAAAGTCACTCACTCACTCAAATATTTTTCGCTTGACACCAAGATACAGAGATCGTGATTCAGGTATCACGTATATATGAAATTCATATGATCTTCGCCTCGTTAATATTTATACTATTGCCGAATATGTGTTTACAGGTTTGAGAGGTGCCTGCCTCCTTTTATAAAATTTAATTATCTGTCCTTTCTTCAACTGGGCTAAAATATTTCACGATTTATTAGTTTTTTACCCTTAACTGTATGTACATCCTCTTAAAGATACAAACTGGGTAATACAATGTAACAACTTAAATATGTCCACGCAGTGAAGACGTGTTCACCATTCAGAAACACCTTTCACGGTGTCAGTTAGATGGAAGTCGTATGATCGTGAATCAAAGAGTCGCATGCTGCACTCTGAAATTGGCTCTCTTAGCGTCTCACAAATTCAATTTGCCTGATATCAATCACAAAAGGACACAGTGACATCTGGAGACGCCGATGCCTGTCTGAATGCCTGAAATTGAAGGATTAGCATAGTCATTGGTGTCTTTGTGGCATTAGTGACTGTGTTGTTACTTAACATCAAGAATCAGACCCCGTCTGCACTCCCATCAACGCTGTCTTTGTAAAAGCTCAGCTGTCGATGTAAATACATTACAGTCAATATACTGCTTTGAGATTCGGACTTCAGAACAACATAACCACAAACA